TTTTACTTATTTCTAGATCATTTTTGCAGTGAGTTTTTTAAAAGAATGCAATTTGTAAAACAGAAGAATAATGGAACAAAACTCCCTCCATAGATTTTGCTCTTTTTAGTAATTGTTTGTAAAAGGACAGAGAGATTATGTTCAAATGTAAATACATTTGAAACGTCCCAAATAGCATTCAAATAAATATATCCTTACATTATTTTCTCATTATTACCTCCGAACCAAACTGTTTTTTTTATGTCTTAACATTTGCGTAACAATCTTTTCAGATCACCAGTAACACGCCCACTTATTGCACTTACTGAGAAAAATAAAGCCTGATTGGGTGTTAGCCTGTGTGCTTTGCAAGCTGTTTCAGATAAAAATAAAAAATAAAAAAACGGAAGAAGAAACCAACCACAAAGCTTCTGTAGGGATTTCTCAGAGTAGGTCTCCCGGTCGCAGCCCTTCCCAATATGGCTGGTCTGCAGCTCCACGGTGACCCTCAGCGAAGACAGCGGCTCGCCGCATGTCTCCAGGTGCATCTTGGGAAACAGCTGCTTGCTGCCCGTCCCCGGCTCATAGTCAACTCGTTTATTCCAGCCTGGGAAAAGAAAGAGATGGAGGGACGACGTTAGAATAAATAACAGGGATGTTCTACACTGGAACATTTTTTATTTTTTCCTAAAATAAGTGCATTTGTTCTTGGATTGAGCTGGTAAAAAGAGACATTTTGCCGATGGAACAAGACAATTTCCATTTAAAATAAGAAAACACAATTGCATTGTCTTATTTCAAGTGCATTTTATCTAAATTTCTTCTTTTAAGAGTAAAAATACTCATTCCATTGGCAAAGCATTTCATTTACCCACTCAAATTAAGAGTAAATACACTTAATTTAAGACAGTTTTACTTATTTCTAGATCCTTTTTACAATGTTCTCTTCAATGCAAAAAATTGAAATCTAAATAAGTAATTTTTTTCTTAAAATAAGCGCATTGTTTCCTGAATTGAGGAGGTAAGTGAGACACTTTGACAATGAAACAAGACAATTTGTATTTACAATAAGAAAAAAACAATTGTATTGTTTTATTTCAAGTGCATATTATCTAACTATCTTATTTTAAGAGTAAAAATACTCATTGCATTGGAAAATCATCTTATTTACCTACTCAAATTAAGTGTAAATGCACTAAATTTAAGGCATTTTCATCTTTTCTGCAGTGTTTGGAGGGTTACACTGAAAAAACGATATAGAAATAAGTTAAAATCTCTTAAATGAAGTGTATTTACCCTTATTTTGAGCAGGTAAATGAGGTCGTTTGCCAATGGAATGAGTATTTTTACTCTTAAAATAAGATAATTAGATAATATGCACTTGAAATAAGACAATGCAATTGTATTTTCTTATTTTAAATCTACATTGTCTTGATCCATTGGCAAAATTCTCTTTTAGCTTCTTAATTCAAGAACAAATGCTCTTATTTGAAGAAATAATGGCTTATCTAGATTTAGATTTTTTCCAGTGTAGATCATCAATATACACTGGAAAAAAAAAACAAAATCTAGCCAAGTCATTTTAATTTACACTTAAAATAAGAAAAAAACAATTGCATTGTCCTTATTTCAAGTGCATATTATCTAATGATCTTATTTTAAGAGTAAAAATACCAATTCCATTGGCAAACTATCTCATTTACCTAATCAAATTAAGGGTAAATACACTTAATTTAAGACATTTTCACTTAACTCTAGATTGTTTTTGCAGTTTAGCTACGCTGCACTTCTGTTCTCTGGAAAAACGATCTAGAAAAGAGTAAAAATGTCTTAAATAAAGTGTATTCACCCTTAATTTGAGTTGGTAAATGAGATAGTTTGTCATTGGAATGAGCATGTTTACTGTTAAAATAAGATAATTAGATAATATGCACTTGAAATAAGACAATGCAATTGTTTTCTTATTTAAAGTGTAAATTGTTTTGTTCCATTGGCAAAATGTCTGTTTTCCTCAATCCAAGAACAAATGCACTTATTTGAAGAAAAAATGACTTGTCTAGATTTCTTTTTTTTTCAGTGTTGTGGCACATTTTCTGACACCCCTGGAAAAAGGATCTAAGAATAAGTAGAAATGTCTTAAATTAAGCGTATTTACGCTTAATTTGAGTCGGTAAATGAGATAGTTTGACAATGGAATGAGTATTTTTTCTCTTAAAATAAGAAAGTTAGATAAAATGCACCTGAAATAAGACAATGCAATAGTGTTTTCTTATTTTAAGTGTTAATTTTTCTTGTTCCATTGGTAAAATCTCTCTTTTACCTCCTAAATCCAAGAACAAATACACTTATTTTAAGAAAAAACAACTTATCTAGAGTTCAATTTTTTTTCCAGTGGTTTAGAATCTCGTCAAACTATAATAGATCTTTCATTTTTAGATGTTTCTGCTCGTTTTGTAATAAGGAATCTATGTCCTCCTGGTACCAAGTAGCTAATGAAATGGGGCCATTGTTTTTGGAGAGCACGCCTGTCTCAGCGGCGGCGGCGGCAGTCATTACGCTGTCACCGTCCTCTCATACATGAATGGTCGTCTGCTCTGGCTTTTTATTTTTGGCTTTTGATTGCCAATCTTTTCCTCCAGCCTTTGTGTTGAACATTTGTGTTCATCTGGTAGCCTATCCTTCAGCAAAAGAGACGATGAACTGCTAATAAGATCTAAGGTTTATATCTTTTATGAATTTTTGAAGCTGCTCAGCGAGATACTCGTACAAACCTTTTTTTATTCAATTAAAATGATACAAACACACCTGGCAAAAAAATAAAAACAATTTCTTCTAACTGAATGACAATTATTCAGATTCAACAAAATTATTTTTCACTAAATGCCAGAATAATGAGAGAGAATAATTCAGTGTTTTGTTTCATTTGAAAATAAAAGAATGCTGCCTAAACTCAGTTTGATTATAGTTCAGATAAACTTTGTTTAACCTGGAAAGAAATATATTATGAGGATT